CATGCTCTCATCCAATAAGTTAACAAGTTGATCGACCATAAAATATTCAGCTTTTCACTCCAAATAATCTAATAACCAAAATGGACCATTCCAAATATGTGAACGAAATTTAGAAACATTTCATTAAGGAGGATATTTTGGGAAAAACTGTTGTGTTAAAATTCAAGTAGTTCTGAACTAAATTTCTTTTCCTGTTCGTATCATAGTCGATTCAATAGAATAAGCTGAGTGAGCGTACTATATAATCATTGCATTTGCTTCTATTCATAGTTATGACGTTTCACTCTCGAAACACAGACATTTATTCTCTTCCAGTCAGTAGTAATCATGTACATTTCAGACATGATTATTTCTTTCTCCATGGGCTTCCCCTACTGATTGTAAACAGCATACTGGACAAAAGGCGTATCCATATTGAAAGTAGTAAGTTCTCAGGAAATACCTAGAACTGCGAGGATCTCTCTTGATATTATCTTCAGAGTGAGCTAGCAGTTGATACTAAACACCTTTTTCGTATTATTCTTTTTTGCTCTGGCTTTTTCCATTATGCTAGCAGTACTTCAATCAGTTTCTACTAAAGGCCAGTAGCAGTATCGCGATGTAATAAATTTGGCAACTGTGGACTTTTACGCCTATTAGTAAATCACCTTGACTGATTTATACACAGCATTACCGGTGACCTATATTATTTGATGTACCTAACATTTTCTAATAGCTTACAATACCAATATCTATACAGATTGTTTGTACCATACTACAGGATGGCTAATTTCACTATACTACAATCAAATAGCCTATTTATCTAGAACGTAAGCATTGCATTCAGACAATGGCTTTCATCTGATCTTTACTGCTATGCCAGGCGTTGCCGCTCCACGCTACGCGTTTGCCGCTGATGCCGGAGTTGCTGGTAATTAGATTCTAACAGGCGCGCGTGTGCAGCCTGTAATTAAATTATGATTAATAAAAGTTTGAATTTAAACCTAGTGGGTGCGGTGCTGCATCCCACTAGCAAACCAGACCAACGGATGTAGTACACATGAAAAAGCCGATAAAACTTTGCGACCATCGCCGGCCAGCGCCCGCCGTTTTGGCTCCAGAGCGTTGAGCTCGAACTCTAAATAACAGTCGGAGTAGCTACATATTAATTAGGCAAAATCTTTCCAACAAACTATTTGCTAGCAAAATTACCGAAAGAGTCCGAATTTCAAGTGAATCTCGTGTTGGTAGATATTTTATAATAAGCTTTTATGAGCTTGGCCGGTACGTATGTATGAATGACTGTAACGGATTCTTTGAGCATAATTTTCACTAATTTAGTATTTTGAGAACTTTTTTCCATTATCTATATTAGGACCGCCAGGATTGATAAATTCTTTTATAGATCCTATGTAGGGAAGTAAGAGAGATAGAGCTAGCGCGCAATCTGTACATACGTGCAGTTTCGGACTTACTCTTTGTTGGTTAGCACTCGGCACAGCACATCGGAGGCAGATACTTTTTCAAGGTAGTGCATTTTCACCTAGTTCATTGCTAATGTTTCCATTAATCGTGAGTTGTGCTTCGACCGTCCACAAGATGCAAGGTTGTACAGTCGATCATGCAGCCATTCATCTAGGCCCGCGACTGTTTGCTGCTGGACAAGCTTATGTAGCACTTAGTCGTGTAAGGTCTTTAGACGGTATTCGGATTGAAGAACTTGATTGCTCTAAGTTCTAAGTTAACAGGAAAAACCCCCAACAGCAAAGCTTTAAATGAAATGTTTAGATTAGGAAATGATTCGTAAGACATTTCAATACCACAAAATACTAATTGATCGGTCGAACTAAAAAATGGAAGTTATATAATAGTTCAAAAAACTAAAAAAAAAACACGCTTTTATAGCTAACCGAACTGAAAAGTACAAAATAATTTTTTAATACAAAGAGTTTATATTGCAGTAGTAGATGGTCGAATAATCAATCATAATTAATGACCTCAAAATAAAATTATAATAAAATTTAAGTTATTAACAGAACAATTATTCAATTCAGAGTAAAAAGCGTGGAGTGCTTTATATATTAAATGTTACAATCCTGGGCAACTATCTATGAGAAGAGAGTTATGAAAATCTAGTAAAATTCACCCCACGCTTTTTACTCTGAATTGGATTATTCTGTAACCTAAATGACTACTGTAATATAAACTCTTTATAATTAAAAATTATTTTCTACATTTTAGTTCGGTTAGCTAAAAAAGCGTGTTTATTTAGTTTTTTAAATTATTATTTATTATTAGATGTTCAGCATTAAATACCGACCGCGATACAGATGGAGTAGTAGTACGTACCTCAAGTAGAACATATAAGAAGAATAAACGAATCCATTTTCAGAAACAGCACCTTTTTCCATCTTACTGTTAAAGTACATCACGCTTTTGTTTGATAACTTGAGAAGAAAGAGCTGCATTACTGTCTAAAAATTAAAAAAGTACAACAGATTATATTTCCATTGCCAAAAGATATTTTAAAATTTTTAACTCGTTTGATTATCAGCTAATAATGACAGCTTGGTTTTAAAAATCCTTTTTTGAGTTACTTGATGTTTCTCAGTATTTGTTATGTCAAATAACTATATAGTTCAGTAATTTTTACCTAATTTATATATATATATATATATATATATATATATATATTATTATTGTGTTTTGTCACGTCAACCAAATATGAAATCCCAGCTCAACAGGTTGAGGTTAACTGGTCCAGCCCTGATGATCTAAATGAGTTGGTTGTTTTCCGTAGACCCTATCAAGTAAGGCTCCAACTACTAAGTAAGCTAAACATTTCGTTGAATCATACAGACTTACTTAAGAAAAATCCTTTTTCCAGTAGCGCCTGTACCTTTGTGGGAAGCTCAGTAGGACATTCACTTCAGGAACTTCTATCACTACTTTGTGTTCTAACATACAGGGTGTTCCAGTTTATTGTTGCATAACTTTAAGATTCGATAGAACTTTTAAAATTAATGCATAAAGTCTATATAAACATGTGTCGAAAAATGCGTGGCTTCCGAAATACAGGGTGTTTAAATTTACTTTCTAAAATAGTTTTTTTTAAATATTTCGTACAATATTTGATGTATAACAGTGAAAATTGGTATACAAGGGTTTTTTGGTACGACAAAACAAACCATGGGCATAGTATTACTGTAGCCGCTAGAGGGCGCTCTCTACTGTATCTGTAGTGTATTTAAATGACCGAAAATTTTTTTTTAGTGCAATTTTTTGCATTTTGAACAGAAAAACTGATTCTTCGCACTTTTCAACATAAAAAAGCTCTCTTGTGAATGTTCGTTACAGTTAGCCGTTTTTGAGATATTTCGATTTTTAAGGTCCGATGCATTTTTAATTATTTATGATAAAATAACGTTAAAAGGTCAGTATCTCGATAATTTTTAGAAGTAGGCTGTGCCTGCAAATATTTTTGAAATTGAAAGCAGAATAAGGTTAAACGTCAATTAGTTGACAGTTAGTTTTGTTGTCTGTTGAAACCTGAAACGTTTTTTTTGCAATTGTGAATGCACGAAATTTAGTTTCTTTTACCTGTTTTTTTTTTGTAAGTTTTATAAAAATGCCATTTTTATTCTCCAATCAAGAGTTAGCGGATATTCATTTTGTGTATGGCTTTGTAAATGAAAACGCAGCAGAAGCAGCCAGAGAATACGCACGAAGATTTCCAAACAGACGACATCCAACTCGTAAAAGTGCATCGCAAAATAATTGAAAATGGTTTTGTAAATCTCCACAGGGATCAAAACATAAATGTTCGTCAGCGCAGATTTACCCGTATGATTCTGCGTGAGTTTGATAGAGATCCGACCACAAGTGTTAGGAGAGTTTCTGGTGCCTTGGGAATTTCAGCAAGCCATGTTCAACGTGTTCTTACCATTTGCA